CGATTATTAACTACTGTCCAAGTGTCGTTAACAGAGGTAGCGTTTCTGATGGCTACAGCTTGATTCGATCCTATATGTTGGAGGAGGTTATTTTTTCTTCATTATACAATTTTTGAAGCTGTTGAAGTTGTTGAATTTGTTGTTGTATATTTTTTTCCTAAACTGATTTAGCTGTTTTCTCTTTTAGATGACCCGAAGTCGCATTGCTTAGTGCGTGTTCATGTTAGTTTCTTTTAATATTGTTGTGTGTTGCTTTGGGAAACTATGTTTTAAATTTTCGATTTTATTATTTATTAATTTAATTTTATTAGCGATGGCAATTTCACTAGTTATGTTTGTTATACTTGTTTCAATTTTTGTATTTTCTAAGTTTGTTTGGGGAATGATTTATTATATTAGTGTCATCTGTGTTTAATGTTATACAGTCATTTAGGCCATTTTCACTTATTAGAGAGTGCCGACGTAAAACTCTTTCGCAAACGCTCATATAATGGATTTACAATATTTTTACAGTTAGTTTATTTAATTATATTTTAATTATTCAAACATTTAAGTTTATAAATAAGTAAATTCATTTATTATTATGTAAGTTTATTTTATTTTATTTTTAATAAGATACTTGAAAATAATAAATAAAATTTATTTATGTATTTATATTTAATGCTTGAAAATTACACTGTGGCAACACCACAATTATAATTTCTTACTTTCGTTAAAAAAAATATCATATGCTGTGTCCAGTAGCGAGGCGTCAGCTTTTTGGCAAGGTGTTCACAATTTAATCAAAACAGAATTCAAACTATAACGTATTCCCCCTACTTCTAAGTTTTGTCCTTTCCACAAGCAAATAGCGTACAAGACCAATAAAACAATTTATTTAAATGTTCGCAGCCTGTGATCCACTGGTTTTTATTTACCATAAAGCTGTAGCTGTAGGAAAACGACGACTTACCATAGATTTCGACATTTTTACAACAGGTATCAAATTCTTCATATCTGGAGTTGGTTTATTCATTTTATGAATTAAAATCTTTTTTTCAGAAGATCGTTTAAAAAAAGACATTGAATCAAATCTTTAATCACACATTTATCCATTTCTAAATATTATTTTTCACTTCAAATTTCTTTAATCTCTTTCTTTACTTTTACTATTTTCTAGTATAAAATTGCAATAATGACTTTGTTTTGATTTATTTCCAACCTCTATATAAGAGTAAGAAACTCTCATGCATTCATTTACTCTTTTACTTTGTATTTACAATGCCCGATTCAGTTTTTATACTGAACCATTTCCCCATATAAAACAGCAACCGTGACTTTGATTGTATTTGCACGCTTTGTATAAGCTTTTGGTTCAGTTTAGTGGAATGATCCTCTCGTCAAATGTAAAACGATTTTCGCTTAGTCATTTCTTTTCTCTTTTGTATTTACTTTGCATAACATTGGAAGTGCACTTTTTTTATTGATCCGCTTGCACGCGTTAATTTAAGAGTTAAGATTATTTTACGTACATATATTTGTTTGTATGTTTTGTGTTGTGTATTCAATATTGAACATAATCCCAATGTGAATGTTATTTCATTTGCTTGCTTTGTAAGCAACGCAGTGCAGTTTTTATTCTGAACCTTAGTATATTTCAAGACGAATGTGTTTTCTCTTTTATTAATTATAAGTAATGTTGGGTGTAACTAACATTTGTATGTGTGATTTTGTTTGTATTATACGTTTTGTGATTATGTTAATATGTTTGGAAAAGCTATTATAAAAAATGTTAAATAGCAAAATAGCGAGATTATTTACCTAACAAAAAAAAAATCTAAAAAGGAAGCTTTGTTAAGGTGTTCAATGAACACTCTGAACCATTCGACGCCTCGCCTCTGGTTGTGTCTATCAGCTAAGCAAAACTCAATTTTTTTGTTTTGGTAGGGTTATTTTTTTCAAACTTAAAATTTAATTTCTTTAACAAAAATTTTTATATTTACAAAAAATTGATTAACACCGTGCACTGGCACCATTTTTCACAGATTCCTTTTATTTATAGTCTATGGTTCAAATGATCATATAACTTTGAAATTTAAATTTAACTATTTCTAATTGTTTGAGATTTGGCACAACAACCAGGCGATATGGCATCACCCATTTGATAGTTTTTGACAGCAGCAGTTTGACGTATGGCAAACAATAATTTTTGGCTTCGTTTTTGCCTTTTTTCCGGTTCCGTTTTTACTTCTGGTTGGCTATGTGCGCATCTTGTTTTTACGTGGCTTCATAAATTTATACATTACTATATTTTAAAATGTTGGTTTAATAAAGACATCGCAATTTACGTGTATGAACTTTATTGTTTTGCCCTTTCTTTATACATTTTTTGGTGCCGAAACCCGAGAGTATCGGTTTTAATTAAAAATATAATTGCGTTTTAGAAGTTGGCTTTTTACGACGAAAATATGGCTGCGAAATAAGCGTACGGCTGCGTCATCATTGAAGCGAGTGGCTGCAAAAACATTGGCGGATGATTACGTTGAGGATAGCTTTGGTATGCAGCAAGATCGTGCAACACACTTCGACAAACTACAAACTGCACATGGCGAGTTGGTGGCTGTGGCAATAGATGACAATGAATTATGGTCTCACATCAAGTTGTGGGACGAAGTGGAAGACTTGTATAACGAGGCGTGTGTTGCATTGCGGCGTGAGTTCGCCCACTGTGGGGTGCAAAATACGGATGCAGCATCAAATATGGCAGGCGGTGCTGCGTCTCCCCAAGGCATGGCAATTAAATTGGAACGACTGACGGTCCCCAAGTTTGATGGCACGATGCGCAACTGGCTGGCATTTAAGGATACATTCAAGACATTGATGCACTCGCAAGAGATTCCAGAGGCATACCAGGCCAGGCTATTGGCTTGCCCCCAGCGGAGCGCTTCAGATTGCTCAAAGCCTCGAATCTTTGCTTTAATTGCTTGAAACCTGGACATACCAGACATTCGCTACTATAGGCAATCGGGTTATACTCTTGGCAACAGCACAAATACGCATCTTAAATGGCTTTGGCGATATCGACTCGTGTCGAGCTCTGTGCGATCCAGGCTCCCAGGTAAATCTAATGAGTACGCAATATTTTAATCAACTGGCTCTGCGGAAGCAGAAAGGTGCATTGCAAATACAAGGCGTTGGCAGTGGCAATCGCTCATATACCAATGGCCGGGCAATCTTACGCATATTTTCGACTGTCAATGCTTCATTTGACTTGGATGTTGAATTCTACATCATCAACAAAATTACCTCAGCAATCCCTGTGGTTCCAATCATGGAAAACTGTTGGCAGCATTTACGCAATTTGCCTTTGACAGACCCGAAATTTGGCGAAACTGGTGTTATAGATGCATTGCTTGGCTCAGACGTATGGGGCCAATTGTTGGCAGATGGCATAGTTCGTGGCGAACTTGATGATCCTGTGGCACAAAATACGCAATTAGGCTGGGTTGTATTCGGACCAGCCGAAGCAACCGTGCATAACTACAAGGCGGAACAATCTATGGCATTGCGTGTGGAGACGCATGATGAGCGAGTTGATGACCTTCTACACAGGCTATTTGAAGTCAAAGAAATTGACATGGCTAAAGGCGATAAACTAGCAGCAGTTGATCTTTGCGAATGCATTTTCATGAGCACACATTAGCGTTTTGATGATGGCAGTTATTGTGTACAAATACCATTTACACCAGATGCTCCACCACTTGGCAATTCACATCAGATGGCACTCAGGCAATTTCACCAGTTGGAACGAAAATTGGCATCCAACTCATAGCTTAAGCAAAGATATGCGACCTTTATGCGCGAATACGAACAACTAGGGTCACATGCACCCTATTCAGCATCATTCAGACGACTCATCTCAGGCATACTACATTCCATAACATGCAGTCATGGCAAAATTCCGAGTCGTATTCAATGCTTCCGCAAGAACATAGAATGGCATATTATTAAATGATACAAAACTAGCTGGCCCTCCAATATAGGATTTATTACTTAACCTTTTGCTTCGCTTCAGGCAGCATCGAATAGCATTCACAGCTGATGTGGACAAAATATTCAGGCAAGTCAAGTGTTGTGTATTCTATCTTGGCCAAAAGTTGTATTTTCGAGACTGATTCAAATGTTGTATATCTTCCTTTTTTTTTTATTTGTGCTGATTTGTTTGATTTGTTCGTGGTTTGTTATTTCCCCAAATTAAAAGGGATGTTGTATTTCAATATGTTAAGTTCATAATTGGTTGTGAGATGAATTCTTTTACTTCAGTAAAAATGCTTTATATAATTTTATCACTTTCTTTATTGTTTATTAATTTTAAAATTCTTTCTTTATTGAATACTCAGTTCCAATTTCAGTGTTTGTCCATGTTACTCCACATATTTCATCACACTTAAAATTTTCTTTATTAAAATGAAGTTTCCTTAAGTAACTCCTTATTGTTTCTTTTACTAGAAACAATATCTTTCAAAGAATACAGCCTTTTTTTCTTAGTGCATTCTGATATTAAATTTCTGATTAGTAACATCACAGATTGTTGTGTATTTGGTGAAGATGATGATGCTTCCTCTCCAAAACAAACAATGTATTCTCGGTCGATAATGTTGAAGTCGTAGGTGACGTTGCTATAGTAATCCTACCGAAAACCCGTAAAATAATACACTCTTTTTATTTGTTAGAAACACACGATTTTATTGATTAGATATTATGTGCCAGCGCTACTACGCTTCACGACTTTACAATTTTTACACTCTGTACTTTATACTTTGTCAAGCGCTACTACGCTTAACCACTTTACATTTCTAAGAGACCCAGTTCAAATTTTGAACCCATCTTATATACCTAAACTTGATGCAAAAAATCCAATATATGACCTCAGAATTACCCTAGTTACCTTATTGGGCTTTTCCATAGTTTCATAATTTACTTTGCTAAATTCGCAAAGTTTTTATTATTACAAGAATGCTCTACATATGTAATGTAGGCCTGCAGGAAAAGAAAAAATTAGATATATAGTTATTAAGAATGCAAACGGGATGTTATCTCGGGTTACCCGCGATGTCCAGCTCCTCCCCAGGTGGCACGAGTTACGTCCACCAGTAACACTAGTGATCGTGCGCTCCGCCAACAGCACTGTCACATTTTTCTTTTTTATATATTTATATATACAATATTTTAATTGTATATAGTATTGACTGGTTTATTTTGTGAAAAATAACAAAGTGCATTGCTCGCACATTGTAGAAGAAATAAATGTGTAAAAGCTTTTGTACATTCTTTGTTTTGATCAAATTGACAGCAAAAGCTTTAGGAGTTGTAAAGATCAATGCTGCCAGAGCAAGGCACAATGGAAATGTATTAAAATAAGTTATAGCGAAAAAAGGAAAAAAAGTGGATAATGCAGGTGGGACGTTCGGAATGTACAAAAGAAAAACAGTATTAACTGAAAGTTCAAAGAACGACCTCCAAAAGTGTACGGGATGAGCTTACAACGGGTGAAATTACGGAAAGATGGAGATATAAAAAGGAAAGAGTGGTTGATAGAGGTCTTCTTGAAAAAGTATTTTGAAAGATGACGGTCGATTTCCGCGGGCAGTTTAAAAAAAAAAAAGTTTTGTACGATATATTGAAATATATTAGCTAATAGTGAATATTAAAGTTAGCTATTATGAGTGAATATATTAAAGTGAATATTTAAAATTAAAAATAAATAAAAACTAGAAAAAAATATCTGAAATATCTGAATATCTGAAATTGAAAGCTATAAATTATCATAATTAATAATTATGTGATATAGATTCATTAAAATATTAAGTGGCATCAACAAAGTAGCAAGACACGCGTTGTGTGTTGAGGTTCGAATGTCAGTTCGGCGCGGAAGATACTTTTCAATTTGGAATTTGAAAATTCAATGTAAAAAGCATGCGTACACTTGTCATGAAACTATTAAATGAAAAATAAATTTTTTTTTTTTTTTTTTAAAACATACATTTATTTATTGCATCTTCTCTTAAAATGAGACTAACAATAAGTTGTAAAATCTTATAACTAATTACATAATGTTACAAATTTTTATTTTAATTATACATTGTATAAAATAAAATAAAATAAGTAAACCTTATATCACGAACCTCACTTAGATTAATGGGTTAAATTTCATTAGAGTGAATGTTAGGTGGTTTCTTAAGAAAGTGGTTCAACTTTAACGGTTTTTTACTTCAAGCTGTTGAATATTAATTAACGGATGGACGGTCAGCTCTTTTTAGACGGGAAGTAATGGATAAAAGTGCGAGATTTCTTGCTAAGGGATTAACATGCTCTATCAGCCTTTTATTGTATTTTTTTCTTATATTGTCAAATTCAGCTTTAACTAGGGGAATTCGTAGATCTCGGTGTATACTTTCATTCCTACTATACCATGGGGCACCAGTGATAATTCTTAGTATTTTTGACTCAGCTCTTTGTATAATTTCAATATTTGAAGCACTAGCATTGCCAAATAGCTGGATACCATAAGTCCATATTGGTTTTATGATGCTGTTATACAAGAGTACTTTATACTCTAGGCACAGGGAAGATCTGCTATTAATGAGCCAATGCAACTTAGAGGCTTGGAGCTTCATCTGAATTTTTTTGGCTTCAATATGTGTGCGCCAAGTTAGTCGTCTGTCTAGGTGGATACCTAAGTACGTTATTATCTGTTTGTGGTATGGGAATGTTATTTAGTAAAATTGTTGGAGATGTACTCCGATTTAA